ATATATATATTTATATTATAAATATTAATTAGTTCTATTATTTAAAATTTAAAAAATTTTATATGACAAAGCTCCATGCTACATCAGAATTGAAGACATACATAGAACCTAAGAGTCGAGAGTGTGCAAAAGTATATGAAAGACAGTGCTAAAATTGTTCGATTCTATGGAAGCGCATACTAATTCAGAATTGCTCTCTCTCGAATCAAATGCAATATATATTCCATCAAGAAGATATGTTAATTTTCATAATATACTTCTATAAAATCATCTGTTAACAGTGGATCATCAAAATGGTCTCAGAGACTATTGAGTAAATGTATTTTAAACACTAATTCGGGTAAGATCAAGTAAAGGAGAAGAAGTAATTTTTGAAATCCAGAACTTTTACATTCTCACGCTGAAAAAAAAAATATTTTTATGTATCTCACACACCTAAACAACCTTTTGTAGGGTATTATAAGTATTCATTTGGTACTTTTTTGAAAGAAATTGATTATAAATCAACGTGTGAAAACCAAGTTGTTACTTTGTTGAAAATTGTTTATATAATTGAATATTTTAATTACTATTCGTACCATTAGACGATAATTGCATAAGATTCTCGTGCAAAAACTTAGTGTTAATGAATTTTATAATATCTACAATAACTCAAAATGCACAGCAGCCTATCGTGTAACGTGAAATCATCATTATTTGATCAAAATTAAAATTTCCATTTTAAAATTTGATTGAAAGACAAGCACGCAAATAAGGTCTTTTCAAAAGCAAATAAACATCTGTCAAGGTTCCGATTACCTTAAATGTCTTGTGAAGCAATTTAGTGCAAATTTTTTTTTTTTTTTTGAATACTATAATATATAAGAAAACTGTATTTGTTTTATTTAAATTAAGGGTTTTCTTTGTATTATATGTAATACATCTGTTTAAAATATAAACAGATAACGTTGAGCAATTGCTCAATACAATTTTTAATAATAATGCTGTTTACTGATGTTTTTTTATTGGAACTGATGTTTCAACAAACATATTTAACTAATGTAATATAGACTTCTATCCAGAGAAACAAAGATAACAATGTGTATTTCGACCATAAGACCAATCACTTCATGTGGATCTAAATCAAGGTTACAAAAGCATATAAAGAACGATTACTCGCTACTAAATCTATAGGTTAAATTTCTGCTTCAAAGATGTTTTTAACCCATAAGCATCTGCTATGGAGTCTTTTTCAGTGAATGATACCAATCTAATATATGGTTGTAGATATACCATCTCAATTCTTTTCAGAACTCAATAATAGAGTTAAGCTTTGAATTATTTTAAAAAACTTGGGAAGACTTTTCAAGGTGTCATGGTACATTAGGACGAATGACATCCTCAGGGACCTCATGCATTAAAAAAATGCATAAAGAATAGAGTCCTGAAATTATTAACAAAAACTGATCTCAAAATGGTTATATGCTCATCGGGGAGGTATGCAGATCTGCTTTCATTTATTGCTTAATCTGATGAAATGATAAACAATAATCCAGTCAAGGTATAAAGAGGGGTTTTAAAGATATCTACTTCAGGTGCATCATGTCTCATGGTATTAATATGCCTAATGAGAATATTTTCTAGTCTTTCGCGATTAGAAAACTGCCTATGCCTATGCTGAAAACTGCCTATTTTTGATAATCCATAGATTAGCTCTTCTCCCATTAGGATTGAATATGAATATAATGAGGTGTTCTAAGAGTTATAAGAGGACCTCAATGGACGCCATTAGATCGCATGGCTCCGTATTACTTATATACGCCAGTCTATGTATCCTATTAAGTGTTTGATCATCATTTGTTGATTCAAAATCCTAATATCTTGAAGAACAGAATAGTTTGGTGTTTTTACCTTCCGTCTGTTGTACTGTCTAGTTTCATTTAAGAATTATTAGCTTCTGATCAGTATTTTGGATATTAAATTCCAACTGATCGCCAAGTTAAGATATGTGAGCATGCTAGCTTGTTTCTTTTAATTTATGTCCATATTTTAGATCCCACAAAAAGAAAAAAACGTCCGACGTGTCTATAATATATATCATTTAAAAATTTAAGAAATTAACTATTATATTTTCAGAAAAAATAAATTAATTTTTATTGCTGATATTTTTTTACATACAATTCTGTAAAAATTATTTATTATAATTTATTGTCTTAATGACCAAAATTTTTTAATAATAATTTAAAACGAGCTAATTTTTCAATAGTTTATACATTTATATTATAAGAACATTATAGTACCATGACGATGACTATAGAATATAATCGAAATATTGGTTTATAATATTGGTTTATAATATTGGATTAATATCATAATATTGGCTGGAATAAAAAAAGTGTATTATTTAACTATTAACCTATTAGCCCCTTTTAAAAAAAAATTATTATTAAAATTTTTTATAAAAAAATGATACCGAGTTTTCTTTAATGATAGGTGGTACAAGCCTTTGTAAAGACAAAATTTCTGTTCAGTAAGGTTTGGCTATTCATAATGAATCATTTAACACTGGAGCAATGCCTTCAAATTATGGAAATTTATTTTGAAAAAAATAAATCTATTAGCGAAGTTCATAGAGCACTTGGTTAATGGTTAATGGTATTTGGAGGTTTTCGGGTTAGGCTAAGGCCCCTATGCACTGCGACCAGTTTGATCTATTGTGTACCCCTTTGTATTTAGATATTTAGTATCTCGAGCAATCGAACCAGCTGCTTCGGAGGGAGTTTTCGAAGGTCTTCATCCTCTACTTGGTATGTACCTAAAGTTTTGTTTTTTCTGTGACCTAGTGCATCTCAGTTGGTGATCAGATGTTCCATAGACTCTTCCTCATCACAGCAGAATCTGCAAATATTAATGTCTGATATACTTATTTTAAGTAGGTGTTTATTACATGCGGCGTGGCTTGTTAGTGCACCAGAGAGTGACTTTAGACTCTTCTTGCTTAGGTTGAGAGCGGTGTTTGCTCTTTTGGCATCAAAATTTTAGAATTATTTGGAATGATATAGGCCGTCTATCCCATTCCAGTATTCATTGATACTTTTTTGGATCCATTTTTTTTTTGTTTCCTGTTTTATGTTCGTTTTATTGAAGCCAAAGAAGGGGTTGGACCAATTAATGATCCTTGTGCCCCTCATAGAGCACTTAGTCAAAGAATTATGTTTGGCAAAATTGTCATATATGGAGCGCAAATAATCTTCAAGCCGTTAGCGAATCTCCATTACATCCATTAAAATTGACTATTTGGTACGGTTTATATGCTGGCGGCATCATCATTACAGTGAATGGTGAGCAGTATCGAGCCATGCTGACTGAATTTGTATTTTGTTTTTAAAAATTAATCAGTTAAATATTGAACATCAAGGACATTTGGTTGCAATAAGACGTCACCATACAGACTTGCCATACAGCGCGCTTAACAACTTTATTTTCACAAGTGGTCATGTTAACTGGATCAACTAACTAGTTTGTGCTCGCTACTAAACCCCTCTCGATTAATTTTTATGGGGCTAGGGCTATGTTAAGTTGTTGGTTTATACCGACAAACCAGCAGCCACAAACTCTTGACGCATTGGAAGCTAATATTCATGCCACCATGTACGCCATACGGCCACATTTATTGCAAAAAGTACTCAAAATTTGGACTGATCGAATAAACCATATAAGACGTAGTCGCGATGAACTTATCATCAGCCGGAAAGCCTTTTCAAAAATAAATGTCATAAAATTATCTATCAGATTATATTAAAATAATTTTCATTCCAACAATATTTCTATCTTGTATTATCATTTTAAGTTCTCATGTAGCAAAAAAAAAACAACCGAGATAACCGTGATATTACAAATCAGTGGCATTACACATTAGTGGTATTACACTTCCATATCATTATTCTTACATGGTATTTTACATCCATGGTATTGCACAGTCGTTGTATTACAACTGGCAATTTTTTTACTCATGTATGACAAAATGTACCACTCGAATCCAACCTAATTTTTACTTCTTTCACTATTAAAATTAGGTTCTTTAAAAGAAAAAATAGGCTGAGTAATGTAGTGGTACAATACTCGTATCTAACGATATCATTTATATATAACATATGATTGATATAACAATCTACAGTTATAGAGCATTCCGTAAAACTATCTGAAAACTATTAGGTCTTGCAATCTTAGAGATTTCATAAACGTTTAACCAATTAGACACAAATAAATACTTTTTTTTATATATATTTTAATTAAAATCAATATACTATTTAAAAAATACAAATATACTTTTTTAAATTTAGGACAACTGCACTCTATTTGTTTTTCTAAGTATTGGTTCTTATATTACATTCGCTCAAAATAATAAATAAAACATGCATTTATTTAATAATTGTTGTATATTTAAGAGTTGCGGCAGTTATTTAATTTATTTTTCATGTAGTAAACAATTACATTTACTTTCTTAATTACAATCTTAATTTGTTTATTAAATTCAACTTTTTATTTTAAATCTTGTGAAAAATGTAATATGCTTATTTAATTAGGTTTTTATATCTTATTTGTATTGAATGTTCTAATATTTATTGTTTATCTTTTTTGTTGTATTGTTTTATTTATTTTTTTTTATTTTAATTTTTTTCTTTTTTTGTTGTTTGTATATTTAGTAATATTTTAGGAAGGAAATGAAATATTTTGAGTTTATACATAAACTAAAATCAGTTTATAAAATCAGAATATCAGAATATTTAACTAAAATGGTACAAAATTTTATGATATATGTCTATGTATTTGTAGTGAGTCGTCTTGGTGCTGTTTTTAACAATGGAATTAAAACTAAACATTCTTTTTCATAATAGTTAGTAACATAATACACATATCATTTATATCACTATTAAAATTATACAAATTTATTTTTAATTTCATTAAACAATTAACTACGTTTTTGACTTGATTAAATAAATTATGTCTATAGTCGAATATTACAATTGAAAACTTTTTTCTTTTTTTGATCTCTTAACAAGCCATACTTAACCGAAACTGTTTTAAAGGAAGTCTGATGATATGCCTTATGAAACTTAAATATACTTATTTTAGTTATAAACTTAAAAACAGCAACCACGAGCTTATGGTTTTTTAGTATTTGTTTCAGAAATATTTATTTTTATACACTAAAAATATAGAGTAAAACTTATAAGAAATAATCAGCTTGCGGTTTCTTTGATGGAATTCCTCGACTTTCTTGAGGTGCTGCCTCGAATATAACAAAATCGCGATGCAGGTACTCATTCAGTTCCAATATTGCGGCAACGTTTCCACATCTGAAATAAATAAGAAAATATTTTATTTAATAAATCTATAACATTATTAAATAATATAAAAAAATTGGTTATATTTTCCCGCATTACTCCTATTATAATATATAATGTATTAAAATATGATTTGGTACCAAGAGAGTTTTCGAAAATCTAGCAAAAAAAAACACAGTACTCCACCATTAACAACACTTAATGAGCTATAATATATAATATAACATAATATAGATATATAACAATAGTATAGTAATATAGATATAATAATATATAGACAATATATAGATATATAATATAATATTAAATATAATAATATAATATAATATATATAGATAGAATAATATAAATAAATTAATATAATAATATAACTAATTATATTATATTATAATTATAATATAATAATTAATTAATATAATTATAAAGATGTGTTTAGTTAGAAATTTTTATTGTTGATAGACTAATAATTGGTTATGCCCTGCCTTTCTTAAAATCTACTGTGCGCTGAATACTTCATACCTTTTTGGGTTGTCCATACACCAAGTCTCCTGCTCTGACGTATGAACAACTTATTTAACTTTTTTCCATGGTATCACTATGAAGTCGGCTTTGGTGCACAAATTCACTATTTCAAAGTAAGCTAAACTAATCTGACATACAGGTGGGGTCTAGCTGTATTATATTTCGTCATGACCCCAAAACAGTTTCGAAGAGCTCAGCAAGCAAAAAGTGGAATAATAGAATTTATAATGGGTAGAAGAATTAAATTTGTATAGAGAGGGGTTTGGTGAAAAGTCATTTTTATAACATCTAATGAGACATGCAATACATAGAATTTATAAAGCTTTTGTATAGATACTGATGATACCACGTATCATATTCTTTACACATGTTTTTTATTCCAAACGGTTAGCCAAATAGTTACTTCATATATATTATACATACATATGGCTTAATCGACTACTGAAACAATAGCTTTAACTGACATGTTTTAAAATACGAATATCATAAATGTAACAAGAAGAAAATACAACTTATGTAACATAAATAAACTTACCTGTAGCAATAATTAGGTGCGGACCAAACCGTCAAAACGGTTTCATTGAAATGCCATTTAAATCCTTCCATCACAAGTTGATGTGCACGACAGATCATGTCAATATCGTTTGTTCGATTAAATTGCGATACAACATCGGAACCGAAAAGATAACCTGCACCGCGTGGGGATACACCCCAACCAGTTTGATCTTCAGGATCGCTCCAAAGTAAATCACACATTGGACCATCGTGCGGTACTTCTTGTTTGCGATCAATTGTGCGTATTTGATCTAAATACTGAATGGAAGGAGATAAGCCGCCATGTACGCAAAATATTTTACCATCAATAATGGCGGATAAGCTGAGATAATCAAAAATTTCGGTACAATAACGCCAAACGGCTGTGGAACCGTATTTACGTAAGCATTCGTCATAAAATCCATAGACCTGAGTAATTTGTCGAGATTCGTGATTTCCGCGTATTAATGTGATACGATCTGGATAACGCACTTTTAAGGCTAATAATAATAAAAATGTCTCGACACTGTAATAACCGCGATCAACAAAATCTCCCATAAATAAATAATTCTTTTCCGGTACATCGCCACCAACTTTAAATAATTCTTTCAGATCATAAAACTGTCCATGTATATCACCGCAAACTGTAACTGGCGAGTCCACCCTTTGCACATTGCCCTCCTCTACAAGTATTTCCCGCGCTTTTGCACATAACGCTTTGACTTCGTTTTCTCTTATTATTTCACATCTCTTCAATTGTTCTATTTGTCGATCGAGATCACTATAATCAGTCATTGCTGCGTTGCTACTTGATGAACAGTCAGCAGTGTTAATACTGCCGCCGGTGGATGTAGGGAAAAGTATATTATTTTCTGTATTTTTGACGGTGATTTTGAAAATTTTATATTTATCACGTTCAGTACTGAATTATCGATGTGAACCGTGTTGCTGATAGTTATAGCTAAAACATAAAAATAAATAAATTAATATATTATTATATATATTATTATAGAACTAAGTTAGTTCTATTAAAAATAGACGTGTTAAAAAATTTAAGCAATAACGTTGTCTTTGACTCTGCCAAAGCATCAATATTTGCCACACAATATTTTAAAAATTTTATTAACTTAAATTGCATCGAATTAAGAGACATTCAATTAGCAATAACTTTGCAAGTGTTTACACTACGTCTACTCAAACCCATGTCGTTTAAAACCCATATTTTATTTAGAGAAGTCTTTCTCCTAATTGAAATTCATAAGTAAATAACTGTGATGTTTTGACCCATTTGAAAAAAAATTTCACTATAATCATCTACTCTGTAAAAATTTTTCTACTATGCCTAGTTATTGATATATCGGCCTTTAAAGTTGACAATTTGTACAGAGAAAACTCCAAATAGATGGCGCTAATAGTATGTGTAATCAATCTTAAAATTGCATATACTAGTTGCCGATAGATGACGTATATAGTTTATGGTTACTGTTATCAATGCAAAAAATTTACAACGTTAAACACCCATATCTCGACAGGTAAACTATATCAGCATATAATGTAGATAAAAAGTCGCGCAAAATGACTGAATACACTATAATCTGTTGTATGTATACCCAAAAAAAGAGCGCATTTAATTATTTTCATTGCGAAAACAATATAATTGTGATAGAGTAACTTAATGTAGAGTTATAATGATGTTTAGTTTTATTAGAACAGGTACTCCAATATCTCAAAAAGAAAATTTTGTGAAATCTAGTAGGCTTCCGACATTGCAAACAATAGGATGCGGTATATAGGATGATTTTTTTCTCAAGACCCTATAATCCACAAGAAGAAGACAACAATAAATAAGTAACTAAATAATATATGAAATGATATGCTTTTATCAAATGTTATTTTTGTGATCATTTTAGAAAATAATCTGAATCAATGAATTGAACCTTTTATAGCAAACAAATACCTCACGAATGAAAACTTAGGTAAAACCAAACAAAGCGACTAATTCCAGGAACTGCGAGGTGTACGTATTTATGTTCGCAGACAAAATTTGAAAATAATCCTTATTCACTTTCGAAAATTAAAATCTATATAAATAAATTAATCCCAGAGTTATAAATTACTGTCTTAAAAATGATAATGAAAACGTAGGGAAACCAAATATTACGACTAATTTCTAAAACGACCGAGTCTACATCCCGAAGCTACTTATCGTGTTCGAAGACCAAGTTTCGTTCAACACTTCCAAAAGGGATAATACAAGAAGATCCTTGAAGGCTACAACAACAACAACTGATCTCAATCGGTTTCAAGAGCAGTGGTGTCCACGTCCCGGTGCACTCTTTAAGTGCGAGAATAAAGTGCCGTATAACATTCACTAAAAGGACTATCTGCAGATCTCCGCATGTTTCACAAGAACTACTTTTTTTAATATATATGGTCAGCTAAATTTCAATAAATTAATCAAATTTTTGTTACTGCTTCTTCATTACTGTTTGGACCCTTCTAAAAAAAAATGAGAGAAGCGAAAGGTTCCAAAAGCTTTTAAATTTGTATAATTCAACTATTTGTTTTTTTTTATCATAAGATTTAATTTCTTAAAATAATTTCAATAAACACACCTGATTTCGTGGTTTTTAGTAGAATTACAGAAATAACTAAATTCGCATGGGTTCCGGGAGCAACTAGATCAACGTTCCAAAACTACTCATTCTCTCAGATGACCATCGCCTTTTTTAAAAAACTAAAGGAAGCAAGTCTGCTTTCATAACTTTTAGTAGAGTTACAAAAACATCAGTTGTTGTAGTTCCTTTGGAAGATGTTGAAAAACTTTCCAAAGGAGATTCCTAACTCCTTTTGGATTCCTGGAGCGACTGGGTCAATGTTTTAAAGCTACTCATCTATTCAGTTTACAAAGATATTCTCTCGGCTTTTTAAAAGGCAAGGAAATCACGTCTGCCTTTAGAACAAGTTACAAAAAATAAAATTCCTTCAGTTTTATGAGTGATTCCCACGGCCACTTAGTCCCGGAACCAATGTATTTTTGTCAGATGAATGTTTTAAACTAACTTAACAACAGCAAATGTTAGTAGATTAGCCTGTTTAATCCTAGTATAAAAAGTACTTCATAAAAACCGGTATTTCTTACAACAGACACTGAACACTGACACTACGAATTTGATACATTTTGCTAAACTATCGATTATTATTTAGTATTTTGACGTCGGCATTCAAATGCCGGTTAACTCCTTTTTGACCTTCGCTTGGCCTTGTGCTAGAAAGAACCATCAACAAGTAAGCAAGTATACAACTTTATTTAAATAATTTTCTACACTTCGAAGAAGAAGAAAAAATATGATTAATTAAACTTGATCTACGTTCTCTGCTAATATTGTATTTACTTTTTATTTTGGTTTTTGCAACAAAAACAAATACACAAGGAATTTTACAACAAAACTGTGTTAAATTACGTAAAGAAAACCTTCAAGCAAGCAAAAAAATTTTTTACTCTGCTTTTGTTAGCGAATTGTGAAAGTGTTTAAGCCTATATTCATGGCTAAAATATATTAAAGCCAACGTTACATTTTTCACTTTAAAAACTTCTCTTTTTTTTATGTGTAAAAACCAAAAAGAAAAACAAAATGACAATTGCATTAGCAATGCAGAGCATAAAAACAGACACGCGTTAGTCATGCAAAAAAAAAAAAACAAACATTTATAAACAAATGCTATTTTAGTGCAATCAATATTATTATAATTTTCTTTGAAATCAAATAACTTATTTTTTTCATACATATTATTTTTTAAATAGTTTTCTTTTTTACTGTAACTCAATTGGGTTTCAGGTAGCAGTGAATGGTACGTTTTTTTTTTGTTTTTTGCTGACATGTTTGACAAAGTCTCACCTTTTTCATAAATTTATTTCACAACTCATATATCGTAAATTCGTTTCATCTGTGTTTATCTAATCATTCACTTTCTTATTAATATTATTAATATGACTACACAGTTTTATTTTAAAACGTTTTTCTTGGAATTAAAATTATAAATAATATAAACAGAAATCCATGTAAAACCACGCTCCGCTGCTCTAACACTCGCGGTTTGTTGGCTTTCTTTCTGCTTTATCTTGTTGTTCTTTGAGTTTGCGACAGTGACAACAATTACTATACACTCATCGCGCCAAAAGTCGCCATTTTCGTTATTGTGTTCAGCAAATGTCAAAATTACACATCAATAAACACGAATCAAACACTTGACACAATTTATGAACACAAATATTTAATTTACACAATAACATTTTAGTGAGTTATTTTTTTATTTAATTCGATAAGTTTTTACCTAAAAGAATATTTATTTTCTTAATAACGTTTTAAAACGAAAAACTTATTAATTACATTTAGTTATGTTTATATTTCTTAATTATATGTAAAGCTATACGTGTATTGGTATTTTAATGCAAAATAAAAAATTGGGACAGCTAAAATTATTAACAAAACTCTTGTGTGAATCCAGGATTACATACAAACATAATTCAATGTTTGTACTAAATCCGCACGAATGTTTTATTTGTAATGTTAGCTGTCATATTTATAATTTTAAGTGTCAATCATTGTTGATTTTAATGCAAAATAAAAATTTTGGACAGCTAAAATTGGAAACTAAACTCACATGTGAATTCAGTATTACACTCAAAAATAATTCAATATTTATACTAAATTCACAAAAATGTTTTGTTTATAATTTTAGTTGTTATGTTTGTAATTTTAGCTGTCAATTGTTGTTGTTTTCAATACATAATAAATATTTTTGACAGCTAAAACAACAAACAGAACTCTCGTGTGAATCTAATATTAAACTTACAGAAATTTTATACTGATATCTGAAATCAAAACGCAAAAATATCGATTCACGCGGCGAATCATTGCAATGTCAGTGTCAGATATATCATATGCCAACACTTTTTAACTACTTTCACAAAAATATTTACTTTATATATGTATAATAATAATTTTATTTCATTTTCTATGAAAATATTATTCATTCATCACAACTATGGTATTTATAATACAACAAACCACAGTGACAGTTTACTTAAGCTGACAGTTCAAATAAAATCCATTTTATTTTGTACAAATTACAAATCAATTCTGTTTTCAGCTGTCAAAATTTCCATGAGACATATATTTCTGAGTGAAACTTAATTTGTCTGCAAAATAAAAAATATTTTAAAACAGCAGCTAAAATTACAAGCTAAACACTTGTGTGAATCCAATATAATACTGAATTTTTGTGTTTCGATTATAATTTTAGCTGTCATAAATTTTAAACTAAAATCTGAAATTAAAAAACGAAAACATCTATTCACACGACATATCATTGTGTATTTTGCTTTTTTTGTATGGTAATTGTGGGTTTACCATACAAAAAAGAAATTTTATTATAATCGAGTTAAACAAAAATTAAATTCTGATATTATAGAAAAATTTTTATGATGTCTCATATATTTTTTTAATGTGAAATAGATACCGCTTAAGTGCAACAGACAGCTAACTTGGATGCAGCAAACGTAATTATTTTCGTACAAATTAAGCCATAAATGCAGAAAATGTATAATTTAAGGCAATTATCTCATCGAGGTAGCTAAACGAATTATACTGTATTTACAATAGATTGATTTTCGAATTAAGCCGCACTGTAACTTCAGACGCATAATTTTTTGTGAGAAAAACCTAATTTTGAATATTTTAAGAGCATTGTCGTTGTGACATATCTTATTTTTCGTAAATAAATTAAAAAAATACTATTGTTTTAACAATTCTTTTTTTTTTATATCATATATGTCTTTATTCGTAGAAACAGCATTTAGTTAGCCAATAGACTTAAAAACTAAGTCCACCCTTATCTTAAACATCTTCTCATGGTTATTTAGTAAATTTTAAATTATTAAAAATGTCATTAAACTCTGTACGTGTGTAAATAAATGTGTTAAGTATAATAGTTTAACCTTAATCAAATTCTATTTCTTTTAAATACACAAAATCAAGTGCAATATATAGACGCATTTTAAAATAAATATTAAAAATTCTTGGCAACTCTATTCTAATAATACCATATCCAAATACAGAATGTGTGTAAACGTCAAAGCACGTATAACAGTATAAGGGGATGAATTAAATATAATTTTGTCTTTAACATACAGTTTTCGAAACCATTTCAGGTAATTACATTAATCAGAATATGATCGCATATATATTTGTATTTAAATTGAATAAAAAATTTGATTATTATTAAAATTATAAAATGTTCCTATAAATTATGTCATGATATATATAATCAAGTGTAATTTAAGACTTAAAAACAGTTCAGCGACGGTTTTAATATAAGTCAGGTTTTCGAAGTTACCTTTTTCACTCAGCTATATGGCATTTTAATATAGTTTTTTAGATATCGGACTCTTGTGAGGGTAATTTATTCATGTGAAGGAAATTACTGTTTGTGTAATCAAAGTAATAATTAAACATACTAGCTGACAGTAGATGGCGTGTGTGTTTTTCTGAAAATAATTTATTTAAAAAGCTTATAAATTTAAATCGTTATATTATCGAGAAACGAGCTATATTATGTATAGCGTAGGGGAAAACTTGCTCAAAATAATTGATTTTACTAAAATCTATTGACAAACAGGGGTGTCTTGGATTTTAGAATAGTCGTACAAATGCGTATCACAGCAAATGTTTGAACACTGTATGATATTTAAACATTATATCATATTTGAACACTACTATATGTATTAAATATAAACACTATGTGATATTGAAAAACTATATGATGCTCAAGCATTTTTCAGCTGTTCACTGTGCTCGAGCAAAAGCATACTGAATGGTTTTTGAAGCTTTGGATATTTTGAATAATTGATTTGCTTTATATAACAATATAAATAATATTAAAATACTCACCTTACAAAAATAATATTTTCCTATTTTTCAATGCTCTGTAAAAACTTTTGGCAATTCAATTTTTTATTGTTTTTCATACATTCTTTTAAAAATGTATTAATGATCCATATCTATATGATTATGAGACATATATGTGTATAACAAATGTATTAATCAAATGTGGAACATCCACAGAAAGAAGTAAAAGAAGTCAAGGTGTTATCAAGTCTATTAAATGATCACTTACAAGTATATATTTACGTCTTAGTTCATTTGTAAACCTACAAAATAATATGCCTTTTTCCCTATTATATTAAATATATACAATATATTTATTTACTATACTTTATATGATATTTAAATCTTGAGTATAATGATGATTTATAACACATACAATTGTATATAAGGTGTGTTCTTTCGACATGAGCAACCAATAGAACATGCGTCGCTTTAAAATTAAGAAGCAAACCAATAACAAAATTTGCAAAATTAAGCTCACTTAGTGGTTAAAGTGCTTAACGAATAAACTTCTCGCAAAACAATGGTGTAAAATCTTAAAACTAATCTATTGTGAATGATTTTTTAGAAGAAGATGTAAAACTCTAGTCAGCTGTTTATAATTTACAACTATTGCGAGTGCTAATGAGTAAATTTAAATATTTTAAAAAAGTAATTTTTTTAAATAAAATTTGTAAAGAAAGAAGGAATACATACTTCTTATAATAAGATCAAAAAGTTATAAGACAATTGCAAGAAAAATAAAAGTGTTAAATACTCCACATTTAGTTAGAATGTGATGTTAGATAGTGATATTAGAAGTTTAAACATTATATAAACGAATTTATTTACGAACTCGTATTGCCCATGTGTGTTTTTATAGAATTTAACAGCAAATTTGTTTGAAATTTTTTTTATTTGCCATATATTTGCTGGCTACTGCAGTGATGCCAAGTGACTCTTCAGCACCAAAAGTTGTTCTATTGGAGCATTCATGCCAAGAATTTATTCATTTTCATTGTAAATTATATATTCAAATAATATGTAATTAATATTAGGCCTTTTCGGTGCTTCGCAAGTACGGCAAAAAACAGTAAGTTGCTAGCCTATGCTGGCCGAAATGTACGCAAAACAACAACACTACATTCTCTACCTCGGCCTGTATGGGTATACTGACCACACACATCGGCCAGTAAAAAATAAAAGTGTTACAAACGCAATAAGCGAACTATTGTGAATCTTCATTGAAAATTCCAACGAATATTGCAATCATATGTCAAAAATCATATATAAGCCAAAATTCAAACAAAATTCAGAAATTTCATAAATTGGAAAAAAGAAAAATTTCAGTGTTTTATTTTGAAATTTTCAATATTTTTGCTATTCCTTTTAATTGTACATTCATTTTAATTTTCAATTTATATTAATTATTTATTTTTATATAAAATGTAATTTGCTTGCATTATGCTATTTTTACTAATTGTCAAAATAAAACACTTGACAGATTGCAATAGTGATGCCAATGACTTGCGTGGCCAATATAGGCCCGCATGCATTTTTTGCCATAATTCCGAGCCACCGAAAAGGCCTATTGTAATCATAATAACTAAATAAAACTAAATAATAATTTAAAACTAAATAAAAAATAGTGTAACAAAAAATATAGTAGACTACATAAATAATTACTACATAATGTATTAAATTAAATAATTTAAATAATATTAATATCATGAATATATTTATAAAAAATAAATTATTTTTATATATGTATATAAATTATTTTAATAAAAATTTAATAAGTGTTACTTTTTAAAAAATTGGAATCTTAAATAATAGATCGTAAGCCCATCTCATATTAAATTTTATTAAAATAATCGATACAAATTTAAAATTTCAGCTTCCAACGAAAAATATAAAAATCGTTGCATTTTTACAAAGCTGGCATCACTGTTCATCTACACAGCACCTACAACAATGACGTCATTAATATTTACCACCCTTTTTGGTAGCACACATTAGACAAATTCTTTTTGTATATTCAGTTTGTTATCGTCGCTGTGACAATTGTGCTGTTTTGCGTGTATTTTTCAGCGTCTGCGAAAATAAAATTTAATTCTTTTCATAAATTAAGGTGTTCTAATAAACAAAGTTAGTAATTAAATTAATTATTATTAATAAATTATTATTAAATTAATATTTTTTATTCTTGTAAATTAATTTAAAAAAAAATTTGCTAAAAAATTTGATTTAAAGTTCAGAAGTAATT